GACCTGCCTGCTTCGCCTTCACCTTCCACCATGATTGTAAGTTTCCTGAGGCCTCCCCAGCCATGCTTCCTGTACAGCCTGCAGAACCATGAGCCAATTAAACCTCTTTTCTTTGTAAATTACCCAGTCTCAGACATGTCTTGATAGCAGTGCAAGAACTGACTAATACACCCCACCCCAAACCCTCACTTTGGTGTCCCCTGATCCTCCTGGAGGCTGACAAAGCCCAGCTCTGTGCCTGCTGCACTTCTGGGGTGGAGCTCATCTGTGTTTTCATTCTGTGTAAAAGCTTATAGAAGCTTCACGCTACCCCATGTGGTTTCATTTACTTGTTGGCACTGAGCAGGGCAGATGTGTGTGTAGGGATTCCTGCGGATCCATGCTGCCCTGGAGCACAGAGACAGGGGTCCTACCTGGGAAGCAGTGGGGTCCTGGGAAGGGAGCAGGGGAGATGTGTATAGAGATTCCTGAGAATCTGCGCCGCCCTGGAGCACCGAGAGAGGGGTCCTACCTGGGAAGCACCAGTGTCCTGGGAAGCGGGCAGGGGAGCCCCTGGAAGCCAAAATAACTGACAGATGAGGGGAGGGCACAGGAACTGCTCTGGGGCCTGGGATCGCCACCCTGTTGAGGAGGTCAGTCTGCCAGCCCCCAGACCCTCCAGCTTGTCTGCACAGATTCAACTCTGCCTGTGGGAGGTTGAATGGCCCAGCACAGCACCATGGTGGGTCTGTCTGTGCTTGGGGAGACAGGACCTGCTGGGATTGTTCTTCCCGGAGGCCCCGAGGCTGGCCCCGGGCCCAGTCTCTCCAGACCCTTCTGTCTGTCCTTTCAGAAAGATGGAGATGCTGGTTTTTGGCACGCTGCCCTGGGCATGCCTCTTTGGGCCTTTTAGAAGCTGGACGGTCCCCCAAGGGGGAGACTGGGCTCTGTGCCCATGGGGTGGGTCCTGCCACCTTATAAATACTCTTCCGTGGCAGTGAGAAGCCCCTAAGGAGCACTGCTGGGGCTGGGGGTTGGGCTGGTGACAGCGTGGCCCCAGTCTGGCGGCAGGCTGGAAACAAGCCAGGGCTGCCCGAGCTTCCCAGTGCAGGCCTAGGAAAATTGCGAGCCTCTACAGGGCTCCTCCCTCCCTCCCAGCCTCATCCACCCCCTGCTCCTTCCCTGAAGGTGGGCCCCAGCCAGCCAGCTGGCCAGGAGCTCCCACAGGGAGCTATGGGTGCGGGGCTCCAAGGCCAGGGCCCTGCCTGTCCTCGGGGGCAGCTGCCTCAGGGTTCACTCGGCAGAAGGGACCCTCTGAGTTCATATTCTGCCATCATCTTCCAGCACCAGCTGCAACCAGCAGCTGCTAACGCACAGAGGACACCCCCAGGGAGCAGAAGGGCTGCGGACGCAGCCCCTGTAGCTTGGCCCAGGTGCATCAGTCCCTGGGCTTATCTGCAGTTTCTCCCACTTCGAGGGTCCTTTCTTCCCTTCCCCACCCCAGGTCAGGGATCCAGGCATGTGGTCTGTGGGGTGGGCTGGGAGGTGCTGGGTCTGTGCTGGCCAAGTGGAGAAGGCTAGGGGCTGTGCCAGCCAGCATCTGTCACCCTAAGGGTTGTCCCAAAGACACCCCAAGTGCTGGGGTCACTGCGTCATGCTCCGCAGGCCCTGCCCCGCCCTCTGCAGGGCCTGACCAGGCTTGGAAGAGAGAAAGTGGACCCATCTCCCTCAACCGCACACCTGTGATGATGATGCCCCCTCCTGTCCCCGCAAGCTCCCAGCTGAGCTTTTCTGTGCATTTCCCAGTTCATCTTCAACACCAGCCCTGGGGGAGGTACCATTGTCCCCTGGTGAGTATGAGGGGACAGAAGGGCTGAGGTCTGCCCACAGTGAGCCACCAGCAGGGGCAGAGCGGAGTTCTAACTAGAGCCTATCAGATGGCAAAGCCCAGGTGTAACAGTTTTCCATGCTGTGTGACAAAGAGCCACAGCCCTGTGGCGTAGGCTCTGCGGCCGTGAGGCTGGGCAGGTCAGCTGGTCCTCTGCCCAGGGTCTCACTGGGCTTCTTAACAGGTGTCGGGACACGGCCTCTTCAGACTGCTCAACGGGAGGAGACTTCTCGGTGTCCGAGTCCCTTTGGGTGGGTGGCGGGGGGACCGGTGGGACCAAGGCCTGGGCTTTGCTGGCTCTCTCCCAGAACCCTCAGGTCCCGGAGGCTGGCCCAGGCTCCCTACCCCATGGGGTCTCTCATGTGGCTACTTCCTTCCTGGGGTTTCTCCCTCCAGTCTTCTTGGACAGAATCCTGTGTGCTGTCTCCCGTCTCCTTTGCACGTTCTGCAATGGAAGCAAGTCCCGTGGCCCTGCTGCTCCGCACACTGCCTCCTCATGGCGCAGGCCTCTGTCTGCCTCGGGCTGCATTCCTGACCTGTTTCCCCACCAGGCTCCTTTACTGAGCCCAACAATTAGGTCTGCAGAAGGAATCGTCCAGCAACGAGGCCACCACATGCCACAGCCCGCACCGTGCACCTCACTGGCCACACACCCTGCTTCTGTCTGTGCCTTCTCAAGGCCCCACCCGCCTGCAGCCCCTGCCCTCTGTCTGCCTGGGCACGCTGGAGGGCCCTCCCAGTAACGGGCTCCCCAGCCCTGCACCTTGGCTCAGCTGACCTGGCTGAGATGGTCTCAATGCTCACAGGGGCAGTAGGGAGACCCCATGCTGCTCCTGCAGGCTCCCCTGACCTCTGAGTGGGGCGGGCCCGTTTCCGTCACACTGAATGCATTTACTGTTTCCCATTGGTCTGAGCCAGCGGAGCATTGAGACCAAGCCGCACAGGGCCGGTCTGGGAGGAGAAGGGGCTCTTGTTTCTGCTGGGTCCTCAGCAGCTGCGCAGTCTCCTCCTCCCCGGGCCTCCCTCCCTCCCAGGCTGCAAGCCAGTGGTTGAAGATTTTCTCTGGAGGCGATTCCAGATCTGGCCTCCAGGGACTCTTGGAAGAGTTTCTAGCACAGCCCAAGTAGCCCGTCCCACCTGCCAGGTAGGCAGGGACCTTCCTGAGACACAGTACAGGGGAGTAGGCATTACCCAAGGAGTTCTGGCTGGGGGCTCCTGTGGGTCAGCTCTGGGGACCCCAACACCTGCCCTGGGGACCTCCCCTCCCCACCTCCTGAGACACTGCTGAGTCCCTCTGTCAATCACACTTCTGGATCTTCCACCTCTACCAGGCCGGCCAATCAGATGATGCCACCTCCTCCCCCACTCCCCATCCCACAGTCATCCCTGCAAGGGTGGAATTGACACACAGGGAAACCGGCCCAGCTTGGGGTGGAGGAGATGTTGATGAGGATCCTGGGAGAAAAGGCCACATCTTCCTGGCCATGGAGACTCCTGGGATGGACCCTTCTTCCTTTGACCCCCATAAAAGAGAGTCCTTGGGAAAGGAGAAGGAGGGCTGAAGAGGGAGGAGGGATCCCAGGAGAGCACAGTCCAGAGCACTGCCACGGCAGTGGAAGACCCCAGCCCGGCCACACGGAGTCTCGAGGCTGAGGACAGACAAGGGGCCTGGACTGGAGGCCCTTGGGTGCAGTTTGCAGCAGGACCAGTGGGCACAGGTGCCCAGGATGAGAGCCACAGGCTGACGGAGCCCTATGTGAAGGGGTGGAGGAGGTCAGGACAGAGGGGGACCCTGGGGAAGGGTCAGGACCCGTGCTTCCTGGCTTCCTTCTGCCATGGAGAGGAAGACACCATGGAGCCCACTTTCTGGTTTTTGAAGCCTTCCTGGCCACCACACTGTCCCATTTCTGACCTGCCCAGGTGGGCACCAGGGCTGGGGCTGACCACGGAGACCCCTAGGGTCAGGCAGCAAGTCCCAGTTGGTGCCACACTGGCCCCCACCAACTGTGTGCAGAGCCCTCACCCCTGCTCAGCCTCGCTGAGAAGAAAGGGTGGGCACAAACCCTCCGCCCCCACCCATAAAGGGCATGAGGAGAGGGCCTGGCACCTCTGAGCCCAAGCGGCTGGTAGAGAAGGGGCAGCAGGGACCTGGCTGCCAGTCCCTAGAGACGACCCAGCCTGCCTATGACCAGCAGGGCTGTGACCCCCAGCCCAGCCTGGGCTGACCACACGCCTGCAGGAGGCCACGCCTCTGGGTAGCGATGGGAAACCACAGCCTCAGAGCAGGTGGGTGTGGCCTGAGAGCCGACTCACGCTGGGCTGCCCGGGGTCAGTCACGGGCTGGGTGAGACCTTTGTGTGCTGAGCCTGGGGCTCCTCACACTCGAGTGGTGCCCTGTGGCCTCACAAAGCAGCCTCAGAGGCCAGCCTGCCATCCCCTCATCCCACACGGAAGGAGGCCAAGTCCTCAGCGGGGGTGGGGCTGGTCACCCCCTGGCCACGGATCCCGGAATAGCCGACCTCCGGCCCCCATGCACGGGTACATTCTGTACGTCCAGGGTGGCTGGCGTGGGTGGTGGCTGGCCCTGAAGGCCGGGGGCTGTGTTCCTGTGGCCGACTCACTGCCCTTTGCCCTTGGTGAGCAAGTCTTCCCTGGGCCTGGCTGCTTCTCTGTAAGACGGAGGCCCAGCAGGGTGGGAGGGGACATCGTGACCCCGCAGCACCGAGAGTACTTTGTAAGATGGGAAGTACCGTGGCTCTGCCAGGGCCGTGGTGACATCGGCCATTCACTACCGGCTGGGACTGGCAGATGTCCAGGGACCAGGCGAGGAGGGAGAAGGGGCCTCTCTGCACCTTCCCTCCCCAGCGCTCCCTCCTTCCCACTCCCACTGGCTGTCCATCTGGGAGCAAGCCCTGGTTTAGAGATGGGGGTTTGTGCTGGGCAGACAGAATCAGCAGTGGCTCCTCCCCCGCTCCTCCCCCAGGGGTGCTGGGCTGGCCCTGGGGGTTGAGGGTGACCCAGAACTTGCCATTGGCGGCCCAGGGACCCTGTCCATCCAGCTCACCCTGGAGCTGGGTTCGGGCACTGTAACGTGTTCCAGGAGACCTGTCGGAGTTCAGTACCATCCACTCCATTAGTCATAATTATTTTAATTAAGAAGATAAGAAACACAACTCATCAAAGGTTTAATTATAATTAACAGCTAACGACACTCGGATGAGTCACTGGCCTGAGCAGGTGCTAGTTCACACTTCCCGGTTCACTGGGTGGGCCGTGGGAGCTGCTGAGACGTGGCCACAGAAGGCACATCTCCCCAGGACCCGAGAAGACGACAGAGCCCCCACACCTCCCAGCACCACGCAGAAGGGCTGGGCCCACAGCGGCTACCTGGGTGGTCACTCAGCCCTGAGCTCAGAAGTGCCAGGGCTCAGAGGACACCCTGCTATTGCCACCGGGCACCCTTCACCATCTCTGAACAAGGCCTGGGATTTATCTGTGACCTAGGCCCCCACAGGGCACAGTGGTCGACCCTACATCCATGTACAGGGAATGTTGACTGTGGCAGCTCCGTGTTCACGGCCCTGGACACTCAGAAATAACTGTGATGTGGCCCTGACCTCAGTGGTGTACAAGGAACCCACTGAAGGAGACCGAGGTGGGGAACCTACTGGGCCTAATGGAAACCCCAGCTGGGTGGGTGGCGGCCGTGCAGCTGGGAGTGAGAGTGTGAAGGTGCCTGGGGCCAGAGACAGTGCCGGTGATGGAGACAGACAGGGTCTCCCTGAGGAAGCTGGGCTTAATCCTAACAGAGGGAGGCGGCCTGGAGGCCATACAGGGAAGAGGGGCTCCGGTGTGGAAAGAGGATTTCAGGACTGCCTGCGCTGCAGGTGGGTGCCGGCCGCCTGGTCTGGCCTGATCTGGCACCCTGGTGGTGCGTACCGTTGGAGGGGCTCCCTGCCTCTGTACTGTGGGCCTTCCCGTCACAGGGTGGGCTCACAGGTCCTGCTCATCCCTGCATGGGATGTGGGTGAGGTTTGCTCTGAAGAGGCCAACGTGAGCTTCCTAATCCAGCCGGACAGAAAGTGGGCAGAGGGGCGCCGAGCCCCCGGAGGCTCTGGGAGTGGGAAACCCCCAACCTGCACGAGGTCAGGTGCCTCCTGGGATGGCCCTGAGGACCGTGGCTGTGAGGGGCTGTCACTGCAGCTCATGGCAGCCAGCCCACCTTCCCGTTCAGAAAGGCTTTCCAGAAGGGGACGGCTGTGGATGAACAGACAGCGTCCTCCTGTCCCATTTCCATGCCTCTGACCACCCTCCACCTCTTCCCCTCGTCCCCTAAGCAGGTGTTCCTGTGAGGCGGCTGCATGGCCAGCGGGGGCTCTGGGGGAGGGTCCTGACACCTCTTCCGGCACCCAGTGGCTCCTGGTTTCCCTGGTTTGTGCCTGCTCCGCTGCTGTCTCTGTCTCTGTCTTCATGCGACTTCCCTGCTGTGTCTGTCTCTGCCACACTCTCTTTTATGAAAACACAGCCATTGGATTTAGGGTCCACCTTAAATCTAGATGATCACACCTCCAGATCCTTAATTACATCTGCAAAGACCAAATAAGGTCACACTGTTAGGTACCAGAGATCAGGGTGTGGCTGTGCCATTTGGGGGGGTGTCACTCTATAACCCACCATGCACCCCTAAGCTGTGTGACCAGCAGCAAGTCCCTGTCCTTCTTGGAGCCTCTGCTCCCTCACACGTGAGCGTGAGCCCCCCTCAGAGGGACGCCTGAAGGGATCAAGTGAGTCCCACGTTCAGTGTGGTGCCTGTCATGTTGTCTAGGGTTCTCTGGGCTCTGCGAACCAGGAGGCAGAATTAGGAGCAAGAACTAGGACCAGATGGATGGGAGCTGACACTGTCCCAGTGTGGCCAGGGACACAGATCTCTCCAGGACCTCGATAGGACGCCCTGGGCAGAGGCTGGCATGTCGTCGCCCCGTAGGCTCACGCCTTCCCTGGCTCCCTGGAGGGAGACAGGACGAGGTCACTTCCAAGGGTCCTTCAGGATCTCACAGAAAGTGCTCTCGCTTTATTGCACCTCCATTCAAGCTGAAAGAGATGGCCAACCAAATTAGCCCAGGATTTAACAGGAATTGATTTTAATTTAAAGCCCTTTGAGTGCTTTCTCCTCTCAGATGAAAGAAGAGTAGGCTGAGATGTGTCTCCTGCTGCCCCATAACTATATCTGAGATGACCCTCAGCCCCACGTCGTCTCCTCCAGAGCTGACTTTCAGCCCCACGCCGTCTCCTCCAGATGAGGCAGCTTTCCTCATTGTCTCAGGGTGGTGACTGAGCTTCACCTACAAACTGCAAAGGAATCTCATTCTTCTTTTATTCCAACCCAGTGCCATCGCACACACTCTGACACATATTCCCCTGCACTAAGAGATGAAGGCTGAACTGAATCTTCCAAAGCAGTGCAACACAGGGGCTGAAACAGGGGCCTGGGGCCATCGTCCCCCAATCCAGGAGAAGCGACATCCGAGAGTCCCCAGCTCAGACACTTCCCTCTGGGGCAGTGTGCCATCCCTGTGTGTGAAGGAGGACAAAATCCCAAATGCCCTGGCTGGGAGATTCTGGAGTCAGGAGCTCAGTGGTACCACCTTGGGAAGTTCAAGTTGAACACCTAGGAGACTTAGAGCTGGCACCGTGTTTGGGTCCTGCCCGAGGTGAGCATGGCGCTGTGTGCTTAGGAGAGAGCCTGAGTCATGAGGATCCCCATGCCCCAGGGGGCCCCTCTTTGGCCCTGAGCCCCAAATCCCATTAACCAGGCAGGTGAGACCAGGGACATGTCTGTCCCCTCCGAGACCCAGGCCCACATGGTGTTCCTTCCTCATGGTGGGACATGCAGGCAGATTGACCAAGATGCTATTGAGGCTGGAGTCCCAGGGCTCTCACCCACACAGGCTGGCCAAGGACCTGGGAGGAACTTCAGGCCCCACAAAACGTGAAACCATGGCTGCCCATCCTTCTTCTCCCAGTCCTTGAAATCCATCCATCCAGCCTGTGACTCTACCCCCAGGCCAAGGAGCACAGCTGCAGAGTAAGGCTCCTTCCTGCAAGGTCAAGCTCTGGAAGGTGACCAGAAACCCTACCCCTACCTCCCTTCCTTAGCCATGACCTTGACTCCCATTGCACTGAGAAAATCAAGGCCCAGAAGCCCCTGCACCACTTCCTCCCTGTGCAATAGAAGAGGGGTTCGCACCGGCCGGGCGCGGTGGCTCACACCTATAATCCCAGCACTTTGGGAGGCCGAGGTGGGTGGATCACGAGGTCAGGAGATCGAGACAATCCTGGGTAACACAGTGAAACCCTGTCTCTGCTAAAAATACAAAAAATTAGCCAGGCGAGGTGGCGGGCGCCTGTAGTCCCAGCTACTCAGAAGGCTGAGGCAGGAGAATGGCATGAACCCAGGAGGTGAAGCTTGCAGTGAGCCAAGATCGCGCCACTGCACTCCAGCCTGGGCAACAGAGCGAGACTCCGTCTCAAAAAAAAAAAAAAAAAAAGAAGAAGAAGAGGGGTGTGCCCTTGCCCCCATCACCCACCAGCATCCCCTTCACCCTGGTCACAGCCTTGCACCATGGGGCACCGCTTGCATCTCACCCCAGCCCTGCCCAGTTCCTCTGCCCTTGGCAGTTTAGCTGCTCCAAGTGCCTCCTTTCTCAGAAATGTTCCCAGACCCTGCATCCCGCCAGCTATCTTCACCTTCTCCCGCTCCTCATGGTCAAGTCTTTAAAGGACCACCTGTGTTTGCCATGCCTTCTTCCTGCCCTCTCAGTGACCAGGTCTCCAGGAAGGTCTTTCCTGAGCAGGTGCAGGACACACCTCTGAGGCCCCCTGCAGCTCATGCTGTCTTTACTCTTGTTTCCAGAAGCTCTTTTCTCTGCTCCCAGACCGAGTCTGGAATTTGGAAGGCTGACTTTTAGAAATGATTATGCCATTTGATCCAAGGGTTTCAACTGCTCACCTTAAGCCTGGAGCCTAGAATAAGAAAACTCTAGACGTGAAGGATCTGCAGAAATCATGTGGCCCCAAATGCTGATGACACTGTGCAAAGTGTCATAAGGGCATGAAGGTGGTTTTTGTTATGAAAGTTCAAACCAGGGCCCAGAAGGGGGAAGCGACTTACCCAAAGACACACATTGGCTTAGCTGAGCTGGGACTGGGCGCCACAGTCCTGATCCCTGGCTTCACCCTGTCCTGAGATCGCTCTCGTGTCACCAAATTTCTGCCTCTTTCCATGACAGCGCTCCACCTTCTCATCCTTACAGCTTCCAGAGAGGCAAGACAAAAGCAGTTTTCGTTGCTGAATTTCAAACATAATAAAAAGAAAAGTGCTTTCAAGGACATAGAGTCTCTTCAGATGGTGACTCCCGCAGCCTGCGATGAAAGTGTCTTGCTTTCTGCCCAGGGAGGTGCCTGTGCATACCTGGAATTGTACACATTCCTTCTGATCATGTGTCTGAGCAAGTTTCCTCCTGAGATCAAAGTTGGCAAGGTGGACAGGCCCCTTTGAAGCTTTACAGGGGTTTGCAGAGAGGCAGGTCCTGGCAGCCGCAGAGTTTTTGCTCCCAAGGAAGAAAGAGGAGGGAAAGCGGAGCTCCAACACCCCTGAGGAGGGCTGTTACCTTCAGAAATAGTTTTTCTCCATGGGAGCGCTTGCTGGCCACTCCCAGCATGGCTGCACTCGGGCCGCACATGTGGTTTCTGCCTGTCTACCATTCATTCCCTTCCTTAGGGAACGGCTCTCGGTGTTTGCTCCAAAAATGACCCTCTCCGCAGTCCAGCGGCCCTGGCCACAGACACATAACCCAGGCTGGCCAGTCAGTACTGCCCAGCTCTGGAGACAGTGACTGGATGGGCACATGACCCAGGCTGGCCACTCTGACTCCTGAGAGTCTTGGAAGGTTATTGAAAATAGAGAGTTGCTCTATGCCTGGAGCTTCTTATGGCCCCGTCACGTCTAACTGGAGAGACAGCGTGCCCAAGAATGAAGCTACCCAAGGGGAAGCAGAGCAGAGCTAGACAGGCAGATGGAGACAGTAATCTGATGACAGACTCACCTCCTGGCTCCAGCTGTGCCTGAAACCCATATGCCCCTTACATTTTCCAATTGCATAAACTAGTCAATTGTCACATTGCAAGTTTTGAAACAGATGTTACTCACTTGCACAGGCATGAATCCTGACCATGGAGCAATGGATTTGCCACAGGCACTAGACTTGGAGCAATGGTGGCCAGCAGTGGTGGAGCAGCACATGGAGGATCCCACAGCTCACTCTTGCTCCAAGGATGGAGCAGCTCATGGGAGGTCCTGCTGCTCGCTGGCCCCCGATGGGGAGCAGCTCATGGGAGGTCCTGCTGCTCGCTGGCCCCCGATGGGGAGCGGCTCATGGAAGGTCTTGCTGCTCTGGGTGGCCAGGAGTCCCCTCTACAGAAGCCTGGTGCTCAGGAGCGCTGCACCAGGCCCCACAATGTCCTTGGGTGATGTCCTGGTGCTGCAGGCAGCAGGTCAGGGCTCAGTGACCACAAAAGTTCGGGGTGCCCACAGGAAGGAAAACGGACCACTGAGAAAGCTGCCAAAATGGGATTCTCCCAGGAGAGCCTCCAGCCCCACCGGCGCCCCTCAGTAACCTCGTGAAGCCATGCAGCTGCAGGTCGGGGCGCGGATGTCCTCAGTGCTGTGTGTGTGCAAAGACCATTCGGCCCGCATTGGACGGAGCGGCGTGGCCCCCTAAGATGCTAATCAACCCCGGCCAATCATCTCCAGCCACAGCCACCCAGGGCACGTATCTGCAGCCCCAGCTACTTCCTGTCACTCACGCGTGAGCACACACCGGATAGAGGGTGACGCGGGTGGTGCGGTCCGCCCAGCTTCCCCGCAGGCTTCGTTCCCAGCTCACCCACCTCCACACGCGTGCGCGCACGCACACACACACAAACACACGCGTGCGTGCACACACACAACCACAAACATCGTGAGGCCATGCAGCCCTGGGTTTGAGAACCAAAAAGCCAAGAAATGGTGCGTGGGCTCAGCAGAAATGACTGTCCTGGGGGCTGGAACGGACGATGGGGCGACACCATCAGCCGGCCGTAAACACCAGGCTCACACTGGCCTATTTTAAAAACAAACGCAAGACAAACTCATCCCTTCCTTCCCGCTTTCCACCTCCCCTGTGAAATCTATTTTAAAAGATCAGAATTTTCTTTACATCCACCTCCGAAATGTGCTGCGGGAGATAAGTGGGGCATAAACACATGGGGGTGCCGGGGGCGGCGGAGAGCGCAAAGCGGGAAGGAGCCGGAGGGATTCGCAGCCCGAAGTGGAGGCTGATTTCCCAAACCCTCAGGTTCACAGCAGCCTCAGACCCTGTCAGGGGAATGTGAAGGAGCAGCCTTCTGGACTCCAGAGCTCCAGGCTCTCAGGCACCCTGAGCCCCTGACCTTCTCCACACAGGCCTCCTCCAGGGGCTTGAGTCAGGAACCTGGAGCAGGGCTTGGGGAGTGGCCAGTCCCTGTGCCAACAGGTGGAGGCCAGCACATGTGACACCACCATGCACTAGGGCCCCAGTTGGCCTCCCCAACACTCTGCAGAGCTCACCTGTCGGGTGACAGAGCACTGTGTCTGCTTTCCATCTGGACACGGAGTGCCCCATCCTGGCAGGGACCCTCACTGTCGGGAACCCAAACCCCAGCTCAGCTGCAGTCCCACTCACCCCCACCGGGCAGCCCTCATGCCCTGGGTCAGGAAGATGCCCGCTCTGCCCAACTCACAGTGTCCTACACCATAAAGGAGGCACCGGGGTCCACAGAGGGCAGGAGACACCAGCCTGGGGAGGGAAACAGCCCACAGCAGCTCCAGCTTGGAGCCGGAGACGGAGCTGGAGACGGGAGAGTGGTGCCCCGCAGAGCAAGCCGCCCTATCTCCTTGTCCCTCCAGTTGAGAGGTTCATTGGGGTCCCCCAATCTGGTCCAGAGAGAGTGGCCCCTGTGCAGTGCCCCATCTCATCCAGTGGACCCTGGGATGGAACTTGGGGGCTGGACAGTGTAGCTGGTGCCTTCCCTCACCCTGGCTAGCTAGACTGGGGGTCCACCTAGGCCATGGAAACAGCTCCAGCCAAGTGCCACTTGGAGCTCACAGGTCAAAGGGCTGACACCCTCACCCAAGGGCTCCCTGAGAGCCCCTGGGAGCCCCTGCTGCTCTTTCCCGAGGGAACCCACTCATCCTCACAGACCTGGTCCCCCAGGTTGATTGCCGGCTGACTGTGTGTCCCTGAGAGCTCTGGGAAGGGGCTGAGTGTGTGGATTCACTCTCCTGCCTGAGCCCTGCGGCACAGACCACCCTGCTTTGGGTCTGGTTCAGGGTTCTAGGGCTCTTCAGCCCAGCACTCCCAGGGAGCCCCACCTTTGAGGCCCCATGGAGCTGGATGTGGAGTGTAGGGGTCCCCACCGCCCTCACGGCCTGAGGCCTTGAGGAAGAATGGGTAGGGCAGGCCTAGTGAGCCCCTCCCCAGTCAGCCTTTTGTGTCCCCCATGAGCAAGAGGAGGCGGAGAGCGGGGGAACTCCACTCATGCTCTTGACCGCAAGGCCAGGTATCGTTCCTCTCAAGGCCAAGGGCAGACAGCAGCCTGGCCCAGGCCCATGCCAGGGCCCTTCTGGGAAAGGGAAACACGGTCTATTTTTGCTCTCTGACAACACAACAGAAACAGCCGCTGTGACTTATCTCCACTGCTGAAGGACTGAGGCAGCCACACAGCTGGCTCTGTGCCCTGGCACTGCGCAGCCCCTCCCTCAGCCCCAACTTGAGATAAGAGTGGCGTCAGGGAAGGGCTTCAACCAGGCCAAGAATACCCCCCGACCTCTCACCTCTCTGTGGTCTACACGCCTGAGTCGGCCCCTCCCAGAATTCCTCCAGGACCCCTGCCAGGACTTCCTGGCCTGAGCTGGGCATCCCCTGGGAAGTTTTTCGCAGCCCAGCTAGGATCTCACTTCTTTGTGCAACGCCATCTACTCTTAGGGGGGCTCCGTCAGGGCTGCCCTAGCTCCCCAGGGCCAAGAGCCCTCCGAGGCTCCCTCCTGTGTCAGAGGCCGGGAGTCTGGGTTTCAGGAAACCCCAGGCGGTGGCCCCTCCTGCTGGAGGAGCTTCACGTCTTTCCTCTGAGGCCTGAGTGGAAGTGAATTTGCCAGATAATTTTAGCACAGAAATGAGCACTCAGAGGAGGGGCAGAGCTTAGAAAGGTCAGTAGGGATGAAGAGAATGCCCATGAGGGGCGCTGTGGCCTGCAGGGCCAGCCCTGGCCTCCTGTGACCAGCAGCGGCCCAGACAGCCATCCCCACACTGCTCACTGCACGCTAGGCCTGCTGGAAACCTCAGAGCCCCAGCAGGAGGTGGGTAGCCTGCCACACAGCCATGACGTTGTCCCCTTTCTCACATGGCAGCCTGGAGTGGGTGCACCCTGCCAGGCTGGGTGGAGCTGGGGAGGCCACACGGCCACCTGGGATGACCCTGGGTGACATCCCAGAGAGGTGATCAGAAGGCCTCAGCTGTCACTTCCCTGCCTGGAGGGTCATCAGGCTAGTTTCTGAATCCAGGGACTGAGCCCACATGATACAGCTGAGCTCCCCCCACCAAGGCCCATGCTGGGGGTCACAGAGCCCTCTGGAGGAGTAACTGTGACCGTTTCTGGGCAGTGTGGAGCCAGCAGCCTGGAGATGAATTCCTGCAAGGAGCTTGCCTGCAAGGGCTCCCTCTGCTCATCACAGTGAAGCCTGACCTGGGGTTGTCTCTGGACACCTCCTTTTGTCTTCTTTTGATCAAGGTGCGGCCAGTGGTGGCCTGCAGCTTCCGCCTAATAAATCAGGGTGCTGGGCACAATAGGCTCTGCACTGTTGAAGGCTACATGAAACAGGAAGATGGCCCAGGGTCTGTGGTATTTTCTCCCTGTGAACATGAAGGTGGAGAGGCAGAGTGAAGGTCCTTTTGAACTTTGCAGAAGAGGCAGCTCCCCCTCTGTTCTCCAAAGCTTCCTTGGGGTGAGTCACATAATAAATGGCAGCAAATCCAGAACCTGGATTGGGCACTGAGCACCTGCTGACCTGATTCCATGGAGATGTCTATGGTGCTGTGGCTGGCATGAAAATCCCAGCAGGCCCTGTGTGACTGGATCAAGTTACAAGACTGTGGACATACAGGTGACCTCGTTGTCACCACCTGCTTGGAAGGAAATTTTACATAGGGCATAATGCACACATGCTCAAAGGCACAATCTGATGAGTCTTGGTAACTTTATATTCCCAGGGCCAACGGCACAATCAAGACAGAGCATTTCCGGGGCTCCAGAAGGTTCTCTCCTGCCTAATTCCAGTCAAATTCCAGTCAATCTCCACCTCTACGGCCAAAACTTTTCCTAATTTCCATCAGCATCCATGAGTTTTGCCTTTCCTTGAACTTCATGTAAATAGAATTACAAAGACATCATTGTTTTGTGTTTGGCTGCTTTTGAGGTAGGAGATGGGACCTGACTCTGGAAGCAGCACTTGAGCTGTGTACCAGATTGAAGACTGGATGAAACAGGGAAGAGGTAAAAGCACCTTCCTATAAGATAGCCCACCAGTGCCATGTCATTTTACCATTGTCATGGCAACAACCAGAAGGCATCACCTCTTTCCATGGTGATGACGTGACAACCTGGAAGTCACAAGCCTTTTTCTAGAAATTTCTGCATCATCCACCCCTTAATTTGCATGTAAATAAAAGTGAATATAAATATGACAGCAGAACTGTCCCTGAGCTGCTACTCTGGGCACACTGCCGGTGGGATAACCCTGCTTTGAAAGGAGCAGCACCTCTGCTGCTGCCATGCACCACCACTTCAGTAACATTTGTTGTCTAACACCACTGGCTTACCCTTGAATTCTTTCCTGGGCAAAGCCAAGAACCCTCTCAGGCTAAGCCCCAATTTTGTAGCTCACCTGCTGATATGGTTTGGCTTTGTGTGCCCACTCAAATCTCATGTCAAATTGTAATTCCCATGTCTTGGGGAAGGGACCTGGTGGGAGGTGACTGAATCGTGGGGTGCAGACTTCCCCTTGCTGTTCTCATGATAGTGAGTGACTTCTTGTGAGATGATGATGCTTTAGAAGTGTGTGGTGCTTCCCCCTTCATTCTCTCTCTCTTCTGCTGCCATTTAAGGCATCTCTTGCTTCCTCTTCACCTTCTGCCATGATTGTAAGTTTCCTGAGGCCTCCCCAGCCATTTGGAACTGTGAGTCAATTAAACCTCTTTCCTTCATAAATACCCAGGCTCAGGTAATTCTTTATAGCCATGTGAGAATGAGTTAATACAGAAAATGTATACCAGGAAGGTGGGGTACTTCTATAAAGAAACCTGAAAATGTGGCAGTGACGTTGGAGCTGGGTAATGGCCAGAAGTTGAAACAGTTTGGAGGGCTCAGAAGACAGGAAGATGAGGGCAAGTCTGAAACTTCCTACAGACTTGTTTTAACCCAAACACTGATAGTAATACAGAGAATGAAGTCCAGGCAGAGGTGGTCTGAGATGGAGATGAGGAACTTACTGGGAACTGCAGTAAAGGTCACTCTTGTTATGCTTTAGCAAAGAGACTGGTGGCATCTTCCCCATGCCCTAGAGATTTTTGGAACTATAAACTTGAGGGAGAGGACTTAGGGTACCTGGAGGAAGAAATTTCTAAGCAGCAAAGCATTCAAGGTGTAACCTGGCTGTTTCTAGAATTGTATGCTTATATGTGTGAAGAAAGAGATGATCTGAAGTTGGAACTTATATTTAAAAGGGAAGCAGAGCATACAAGTTTGGAAAATTTGTAGCCTGACCATGTGGTAGAAAAGAAAAATTCATTTGCTGGGGAGAAATTCAAGCCATTGCAGAATTTCCATAAACAACAAGCAGCCAAATGTTAATAATAGTAAAGACAATGGGGAAAATGTCTCCAGGGCATTTCAGAGATTTTTGTGGCTGCCCCTCCCATCATAGGCCTGGAGGTCTAGGAGGAAAAAATGGTTTTGTGGGCCAGGCTAAGGGCTCCACTGTTTTGTGCAACCTTGGGACATGGCTCCTTGAGCCCCAGCCACTCCAGTTCTAGCCATGGCTAA